CACCCAAGCGGTTCGGTCTGAACATACACCACCCCAACCTTCCCCTGAACCATTCATCTCCCATACACAACCCATATCTTCCACCCCTCTATCCCACAAATCCATAAACCAAATTCCCATCCCTTCTATTTCTCGGGGAACCCAGAATACAGAACCAGTATTCTCCCCACACCCGACCACACCCTCCATCGATCTCTCCTCCCTATCCTTTGACACACTAGCTTCGGCTTTGCTGAACAATCTCTTAAATACCCCAGAAGACAACCTCACTCTTCATCAACAAGCCATACTAGAAGCTCTTCTTTCCTCACCTGAAACCAAGAGTACTTGCAAGGAGAGTCTTCATGGTCGCAAACGTTCCCATGAGGACCCCGATGATTCGGATCCTCATGAGGGGGAGAACAAGCGACCTCGATCACTTGAGCAAACTGCTCTACCAAGCCAAACTCCACAACCAATTCAACCAGAAACCTCAACAAACCAACAGCCACCATCCACAGCCAAACTATCTAGCATGGTCGAGCTAGAAATAACATCCCGAGGCGTATCTCCCAGAGATACCAACCAAGGAGGGGATGGAAGTCCTGATGATGTTACCACTGGTACATCTTCTCCATCAGGCCATCAGTTGGAACCCAGTTCTAAGCTGATGTCAACGGGCAATCCTAGTGAACCCGGTAGTGCTACACAGGAACAATCACCGCCTATACAAAGAACTCCATATATTTCCCCAGGCAAAGACATCCATGATGCACTGGAAGAGGCGGTGATATACGACAAATGGCCGAGAAAATGGATAGAATGGGATGTTCTCCGGGTTGAAGCCGAGCAAGAAGACATGCAAAGAAACTGGTGGCTACGAGAGCTGATCAACAAATGCTCTGAAGATATTATACGGCTCGAGGACGATGAACGCAAGGAAGGGGAGAACTACAAGGAATCCCAGAAAGCTCTTGAATCGGTCGTAAGACAATCAGCGGGAAGACTTCCCAAGACAGAGAAACCCTGGGACAACGTTCGAATCAAAGCCCCTTCCAAGAAGAAATCAGAGAGCATATCTGGCGTAGACCAGACAAAGTCAAGCCACTGAACGAACTGAAGCTAAGAGGCCTTACTCACTTGAAAGGAAAGCAGGCTGGAGGTCATCTGCATATGTTGCTGCAAAGGTCAACTGGTACACAGAGAGAACTAATGGAACAAGATCTGAAGTCGAATATTCTCCCGATTCATCAAATTCTACAAGTGAAGGCTGAAGACTATCATGGAGTAACATTCTACACTTTCAGACTTCAACGCACCGATGGGAGCGAATTCACTTGTCAAGAGAACGACTTCATCATGCTAAAACCGGATGACATCTACCAAATGCTCGTGGCCTACAGATACCTTCCAGTCAGGCAGAGCATAGTATACAGCGAAGGCCTCGCAGCTATCAAGAGATTCATGCTTAGACAGATCAGAGTACACTCTTCACATGACCTACAGATGGCTATTGAATGCAATCTGAAGAAGACAAATCTGACAAAGCCAAAACTGTATGGTCCAGAACTTGAAGATTTCCCAGCCTACCACATCTTCTTCAAACCGCCAGCAGTCACCTATCTGAACCACAAGAACGAAAAGCGTCTGATGGTAGTCAGTGAAATCGAGAAGTACTGCGACGGAACACTGAAGATAATCAGAGAGAAGATTCTACAGATGAAGGCAAAGCTGGAAGAAAATCTTCAAGAGGCATCGTCTTATGTTCAAAAGGAACTCTCTACTGTAGAGACAATTTTAAAGGCCATTGACGATCGCCTCGAAAAGAGAAATATGCTAAGACAGTATGAACATGCACTTGGATTGAGAAAGCACTACTTCAAATCACAGAAGCAATAAGAGAATGGCACTTGATCACAAAGGGGGAGATTGTTGGAGATATTTAATTGTGAATCAAGTTGGTCATAGATTAGCTTTATATTTAATCCTTGTATTTAAATAGTGCATAAATTAGATAGAAATCAGGCCAAGTGTTAGGCCCATTTAAACAGGCCAAAAGCCTGGTACGCCTAACCTAAACCTCGCCTATAAAAAGGGAGCCGAGGTTTAGGAAAAGGCTGAACGTCGTACTTATTATTTCATAGCCTTACGCTTATCATTCTGCTGTACGTTCCACGGTTTATCAAAGAAGGTTTTACGGTGATTCATTCTGTATTCATCTTTAACGTTTAATCTTCCTTGTTAGATCGATTATTCATTGCTGTTAAAGAAACAGGGACTAACACATATAAATTGTCAACATCTAACCTAACTAAATGGAATGTTTCTCTAAGCCAGTGTTTGTATATGTTTTTGTTTCCATGTTTTTGCTATCATTAGTAGAATACTCATGATATGAACCGTGATTGGGTAAAGTCTTCAAATCGGATCGCTCCGGCATATGTGGCTGGCATCAAAGAATTGATAAATGTTGCTAAACAGAGTTTAGATCGTAAGGGATTGACAACATGTCCTTGCCGTAATTGCCTTAATTCAAGGAGTCATTCTATTGATGTCATCAGAGCACATTTGATAACTAAAGGAATTGATACGTCATATGTACGGTGGGTGTATCACGGTGAAGAAGAATCTGATGATGAAGGTGCGGGTAATGAAGAGTTTGAAAATGATGAATTTGATGGGTTGAGAGCAGGGCTGCATGATGCATTTGGTAATCAATATTTTGATATTGGGGATACCACTGAATTTCTTACAAATCAGCAACCCACAGCAGAAAATTCTCATTATGAAAAACTATATAAAGCTCTGGATACCCCGTTATTTGTAGGATGTCATACATCCTCTGTATTGACATTCGTGGTAAAATTGATGAATATAAAGGTGATGAATAAGTGGAGTGATGGTTCCTTTGAAATGTTGTTGAAGCTACTACGTGAAGTGCTCCCACCAAGCAATAATTGTCCACAAAGCTATTACGAAACTAGGAAGCTACTTTGTGACGTGGGTTTAGGTTACGAACTTATTGATGTTTGCAAATACGATTGTGTGTTGTTCTATGGTGATCATAAGAATGATGTCACATGTCCTATATGTAAATGTAATCGATATGTTCGTAATAATATTCCACATAAGAGGCTGCGGTATTTCCCGGTGGGACCTCGACTTAAACGTCTGTATGCTTCACGTCACACGGCAAGAGACATGCGCTGGCATAAAGAAGTGGGCAAGGAAGAGCCAGGAGTTCTGCGTCATCCGGCTGATGGGAAGGCTTGGAAGCACTTTGATGAGTTATATCCGTATTTTGTTGCAGACTCAAGAAATGTTAGAATGGGGTTGGCCTCTGATGGGTTTAACCCATTTAGTAATATGTCAACATCACATAGTTTGTGGCCAGTAATTTTGATGCCTTATAATATGCCGCCTTGGAGTATGATGCATAGAAGTAACTATCTTTTAGCATTATTAATTCCTGGTCCTAAGTCGCCTGGTAAGGATTTTGATGTGTTTCTAAGGCCTCTTGTAGATGAACTTAAAATTTTATGGACAGATGGGGTTGAAGCATATGATGAGTATTCTAAATCAAATTTTACTCTCCGGGCAGCAATTCTATGGACTGTAAGTGACTTCCCCTCTTATGCTTACTTGTCTGGATGGAGCACTATGGGAAGAATGGCGTGTCCTGTATGCCTCGAGGACACCAGATGGAAACGAATTCGAGGAAAACAATGCTATACAGGGCATCGATGCTTTCTAAGTGATACACATAGCTGGAGAAAGAATAGGGGATTTGATGGCAAGCCAGAGAGAAGAGGACCGCCTCGAGAATTTTCTGGAGATGACATTTTACAACAGCTAAAGGAGGTTCATAATGCAACACCTGGAAAAGCTACGAACAATAAAGATAAGAAACGCAAACGTGGTGCTAATGAATTGAATTGGGCCAAAAAGAGCATCTTGTTTGAACTCCCTTATTGGTCGAAATTGTTGATGCGCCATAATCTTGATGTAATGCATATAGAAAAGAATGTATGCGATAATATTGTCGGGACCTTATTGAATGATCCTCTAAAGTCAAAAGATACTTTGAACGCACGTCTTGACTTGGAAGATCATAACATTCGCAAGGAGTTGTGGTTGAGGGAACGAAATGGTAAATTTGAAAAACCGCATGCAAAATATACCTTGACTAAAGATGATTGTAAGGAGTTTTGCAAGTTTATCAAGTCTGTTCGCCTTCCAGATGGTTACGCTTCCAATATTAGTCGATGTGTCACAGATGCAAATACACTTGGAGGAATGAAAACTCATGATTGTCATGTATTGCTTCAAAAGATATTGCCAGTGGCGATTCTTGCATTCCTCGATAGGAAAATACGTATCACACTAATAGAGTTCTGTCAATTCTTTCAGAAGTTATGCGCAAAAACCTTATATGTTAGCGAACTTGAGGACATGAAAACTGGGATTGTGATCATATTGTGTAAACTTGAACAAATTTTTCCGATGTCCTTTTTTACAATCATGGTTCACCTGTGCGTGCATTTACCAGAACAAGCATTATTGGGTGGTCCAGCTCCTCCTAGATGGATGTTTGGAATTGAACGGCGCATGGGTACTTATAAGGGATATGTGCGTAATTATGCTCGGCCTGATGGATCTATTGCTGAAGCTTACGTGGTCGATGAGGCTATTACATTCTTATCTCGATATTTAACTGATATTGAAACAAGATTTACACGCCCAGAGCGCAATTGGGACCTCTCTAGTGAAGACTATAAGATGGACGTGTTTAACCACAAAATACGAACACTTGGAGCTCCTAAATTTGGAAATCTAGGATTAGATGGGAATGTGGTGCAATGGTACCTTCTTAACAATTGTGGAAGTGAGCTTGATGATTACATAAAGTGAGTTTTCCATTATAATTTCATTTCTAGTTATTTTTAATTTATTTGATATTATAAGTAATTTATTTGTCACTTTAGAGAGCATAAGGAACTTATTTGCTTGACAAGCTCACGTGCTCAAGAATGGGACAATATTCACAAACGTGAATTTCCTGCTTGGTTCAAGAAAAAGGTAAAACCTATATATTAAGTATATAAGTATAAATCAACTTTTTTTTTAATTTTAACAATTTATAATTTTAATATTCGGTTTTCAGATGGCTATACTTAGAGTAAATGGTGATCCGGTAGCTAGTGATGATTTGTATTCCTTATCGCAATTACCGGATGATCGTTACACAATTTGGCAAAGTTGTATAGTCAATGGTGTTAGATTTCGATGCAAAGAATGTGATGACAAGTTCAAGACACAATGTAGTGGAGTATGCACTGGAGATGATAATGGTGATACCATTTATTATGGTGTATTACTTGAAATTTTAGAACTTGATTTCATCCTTGGAAGGAAGGTTTTCATGTTCCGTTGCAAGTGGTATAATACTGATCCAAAGGGGAGAACAATGGTGGTTAATTATAAACTGACATCTGTTGACACATCATCCCAGTGGTACACCGAAGATCCATTTATTTTGGCCACACAAGCTCGACAATTGTTTTATTTAGACGATAAAGCTTTGGGCAAGAATTGGATGGTTGTACAAAAAGTAAATCATCGTTGCATATATGATATACCAGAGCATGATGCTAATGTGGATGCTAGTGATGACATATTTCAAGAGGAAGATGCTAGTGAGTTACCATCTTTTCATCCAATAGAAGAAATTGATGACACACCTCTTTTAGTTCGACAAGATGTAGAGCCAATGGCATTACCGAATAAGGTTGTCCAACAAATGCGGGATCAAACGTCAATGCCTATCCAAAATGAAGATTCTTTAGAAGATGTTGAAGATTATGACCCTGACGATGGAGAGCTTTTCTTTCACAATGAATTGATATTAGAGTCTGAGAGTGACAAAGACTCTGATGCATTAGAACTAAATATCAGTGACGATGACTCCATGGCATGACATAAATTTAGTCTTAGGTTATTTTTGTTTGAACTTATTCATATGTATATATCATAGTTTCACTGTGGCATGATTTTAATTCTTTGTTGAATCTTTGTTGCAGGTTTCCCATGGCTAGTTCTAAAAGAGGTGGATATCGTGCACAAGTTGGACGTAGTAGGATTTCTGTTGAAGATCAACATGCTACTGAAGAGCTTCGAGCAGGTTAAGTAAATAAGTGTTTCTATTAATTAATAACATTTGTTATTTATCTCTCATGAGTTAATTTTCAAAATATATAGTTCATTCCCTAAGAGACACTCAAGTTTCAACAAGAGGTGGGTGTAGGAGGAATCCAATAGGACATAGATCTGCATCAGAAGAGTTTCAAACGGGTCAGTTATATCAATAACTATCAACTGTACATTTACTCTCCTCGATTATTTAAAAAGATAATTTCTTTTGGTTGTATGATTTAGAATAACAAGATTACTGTGGTTGCCTCAAAGTAATTATTGATTCAAGATATAAGTACTTATCTCCAACATCAAAAAAATTTATATCAATACTTTATTTTAATAATTCAATGTTCCTTATAATGTAATTAAATAGCTCATTCTCTAGGAGATGCTCGAGTTTCAACAAGAGGTGGACGTAGCTGTAATCCAATTGCACATGATTCTGCAAGAGAAGGGATTCAAGCAGGTTAAATTAGTTATATCAATAACTCGCAATTATTCATTTGTTAAGTAAATATTGCACCTATTAATTAACAACATTTGTTATATATCTTCTAGATGTTAATTCTCGAAGTTTTATACATATAAAAAATCTAGCATTTTGGTTTAGAATTGTTTTATCTCTAACATAAAAATGTTTATTTCAATCCTTTATTTTAATATTTGAATATTCCTTATAATGTAATTAAATAGCTCATTCTCTAAGAGACACTCGAGTTTCAATCCTTTGTTTTGTTTGATATTTACATCTTTATATTTAGTTTTTTTTGTGAACTCAATGGCATGTGATATAACTTAATAGCATATAGTTTTTGGTAAATCAGTTGTGTTACAAGCAATAAATCTCAAAGGCTTTTTAATTTTCCCAATGAAGAACTGAAGTTATGAAAAGAAAATTAAAAACTGAAATACTTAATGTCTTGAAAATAGAAACTGGATTTTTATGGAAATATTTATGCAGAATAAAAAATAGAAAACGAAAGTTAATGGACTTTTACATTCTCCTAGACAAAAAATAAGACTTTAGATTGTTAGATTGTAATTTAAATCTAATATAATTTTATTTACATACCAAACTCAAAGCGGCACTCAAGTTTCATCTGCCAATAATGAATCCGCAGAACAAGGTTCAAATGTGCGTGGAATAACATGCAGTAAAGGTGCCCGGAAAGCAATGAGGAGTGCTAAATCACGATTGACGGTAAAGTTTGACTTTAACCTTATGCAAGCAATATGTGACAACACAGAGGTTTTCAATAATGAAGTTGGATATATCCTGCGTACGTATTGCGACCTTAAGTACAAAGAATGGAGGTTTGTACCTGAAGAAGAAAGAGCACCACTTCGTTACAAACTTCGAGTAAGTATACATGAAGACTCACACTACAAACTTCTTGTAGTTTGATTATTATTATTCAAATAGCGTAGGATGTGAAGCATAGGATCACATAAAATATTCTCCCTCCTCCATAGATTTCAAAATAAGGTTATTTGATTTATATTAATTCTAGATCATAACATTATACCTCTACTATCATCATCTTCCACTCTAAGTTTCATATAACCATTAATCATACTTATTATTCTCTTTGTTATGCAGACATTATTTGATGTTGATTTGGAAGATGCAAATGTCAGAAAAGCTATTGATAAACAAATGCAAAGAGCTTGGCATAACTATAGACGTACGTTACGTGAACATTTTAAAACAGTTGGAGGTGCAGGTGATCTGACGAAGGCAAAGGGTAAGCCTTATGAGGGTGTTAGCGAATCGGATTGGGAATATATATGTAATTGTTGGAGCGACCCTTCATATCTGGTAAGATGTTTTATACCTAAAGATATGCTGACGTTAATGAATTTTAATTTTTTTTTAAAAAGTATATTTATGTCTTAAAGCTTACTGTAGTAGTAAACGTAGTGAATATGAGTTTCTTTGCTATAGCATGTTTCATAGTTTATTTTGAGAAAAACAGCAGGATGCATCATTTATACATTATTGTTGATATTTATAATCATTACTTGTGTTTATTTTATAGCAAAAAGCTTTGAAGAATGCTGAGTCATGTAAGAAAAGAAAATGGATTTCTAGAAACGGATCTAAAAGTACAGCACGCCATCACATTAGTCGTGGGGTTGAGTTAAATGCTCATGTTGGTCATATTGAGACGTGGCGTCTACGTCATTGGCATCCAGAACGTGGTTGGGTATCTGTAGAAGCTGAATCTAAATATGTAAGTGTACTTCACAGACCGTGTGTGTTAACCACAACATCTTTTATTCAAATTAATTAGTTTTACATTATTGACATATATACATGCATGTTCTGATGTTCACAGTTTACCTGATTAATGAATTGTTACTATTCCATTCATAATTTAACAGGAAGAAATGATGGAATTGAGAAGAGAAAAATCACCTGAAGATTTAACTGATAAACAAATATTAGAGAAGGTGCTTGGACGAGAATCTGTTCGTCTATTTGGTTGGGGACGGTCTCCCACTGGGTCCAAAAGAAGCAAAGGTGATTCAAATATTCCAACTTATACTCAATTGATGGATCGTGTTGGAGAACTTTCAGGCACTGTTGAAATGATGAAAAAGTTGTTGATTGAGAAGAATATTATGCCTCCCATGTCACATGTTCCTTCAGATCATTGTTCAGTACCGCTTAATCGTGGGTCATCCTCTATTGATCGAGGCCAGCATGTTGACGGTTTTGAGTACTCCACTTCTGAATATGATAATATTGTTTAGAAGCAAAATTCATATTAGACTTAATACTTTGTAGTGTGGCAGCAGCTAGTTAATGTTTTATTTTGTTTGGCAATTTTTGATTAGCTAATACTTTGCTGAAATTGAATATTTTAGTTTGAACTATGACATTTATCGTTATAATATATTATCCATTCCCGTGTTCCTATTAGGCTATTACAAAATGTAATTGTTTGATATGTGTATTTAATAAATAAATATAATATTTAATGAAATAGTTTTACCCACTTTTATTACCCACTTTTAAAATACAATTTACCCACACATACACATAACTTTTACCCACACATCTTTATGTCCACGTGGCAACGGCTAAGAGTCATCAGTTATGCCACGTCATTATCCACGTCACACCTGAATTGCCACGTCACAAGCCACATCATCAGCCACGTGTACTTCCACGTCATATGCCATGTCACGGGTTATTTGGTGAAATGACCAACAACAACACATTTAGAAGTGTTTTAGCTACGCATACATGTGTAGCTATAAATAATAATATTACCCACACATAATTGGAAGTGTAGCTAATAACATTTGTCTACGTTTCCGTACCCACACATCGTAACACTTATAATATGTGTGGGTAAAGATTATTACCCACACACATCTACTGTTTTACCAACACATACGAGTGTGGGTAAATAACTTATTTTCTTGTAGTGTATTTTGTGCCGTTGAAAGCGTTTAATATCTCGTTGGAAAGCTCTTACCGAGTTCTAAAACTTGTCTTCAGGCGCTGGTTTCAATTTTTTTGGATGAAATGTAAGTATATATATGTAACCATCCAAAAGAGTTTATCTGTACAGCAAAAAGGGTGAGCAAAAATGCAGGTTATCCAAAGTATGGATAACCCATCACCACCAAAAACAGCTCATATGCTATCTATGATATCTAGTCAGCCTATCCTATCTCATATCAATGAGAGAGAGGAGTAAAACAGTTTGTGAGGTTCATCAAAACACCACCAACTCGTGTGGGTATAAATTATACAAGATTTTGTAAGTAACATATTGAATTCTTGCAAAAACATCCTCTTCCTTCGGTTTTAGGCCATCAAATCTGGCAGCGTTGCGTGTCATCCAAATCCAATATATGGAGTAGCAAAATGAAATCCTTTTTGCCTTAGCTTTGACTCCAGCTCCATCTCGGTCCTTCTTAATCCATTTCACCGAACTAGTCAACGTCCCCATTTGTCTTGGCATTTGCATCCATGCCTTCACCATTTGCCAAACTTTACCTGAAAAAGGACATTCAAAGAATAGGTGTGGAACCGTCTCCGGTCCACCCTTGCACAATATACATACATTAACTACATCTAACCGGTGAAGGTTTTCATATGTAGCTAATCTATTACGGAATGCCAACCAAGTAGTGAAAGAGAATTTTGGAGGAATATAATTCTTCCAAATAAATGACATCCACGCACGTTTGGGCCCTTTGTTTCTAAGCAAATCATATATCTTGATAGATGATAATTTCCCCCCACAGTGGAAGCTTTGTAGGCCTCGGATTGCATGAGGAATACTGTCAAATTTAGCCAGGATCTCATCCCTTACCAACACTAGTTTCTTCATTAATTGTGAGTCCCTATAGTGTGGGGAGAAGTCCCACACACTACGGCCATTGAGGTAAACTCCATGCACCCATTTGACCCATAAAGTGTCTTTTTTAGTATGGATATCCCAAAAAGTTTTTGCAAGTAAAGCCGAGTTCCATACCTTTGTGTCATGTATGCCAAGTCCACCTTCTTCTTTGGGTAAGCAAATGTCAGCCCATGCCACTCTAGCAAATTTACAACCCCATAGGAAAATACGGCATATAGAAGTAATTCTATCAAGTATGGACTTGGGTATGGGAAACACTTGGAGCCAAAATGAATGTACTCCTTGGATTACTGATTTGATGAGCTCAATTCTTCCAGCATAAGAGAGTGTCTTTAGATTCCAAGTTGTAATGAAATTAGTAATGGATTCCAAGAGGGGGGCATATTGGGTCAAGGATATCTTGAGAGGGGCCAGAGGCACCCCAAGATATTTGACCGGGAATGTTCCTTCTTGAAAGGTAACTAGGTCCAGGAATTATTCAACTCATAATCAGCCAATCCACCAATGAAAATATTAGATTTATCATGATTAACATGCAAACCAGAAACATTGCTAAATTCCTCAAGTGTGTCAATAAGTATTTTTATGGAAGGGGCATCACCCCTAGAAAATAGCATAAGATCATCAGCATAAGCAATGTGTGATATCTTCAATTTTCCACATTTAGGATGGAACTTGAATTGTGGGTCCATGGTCCTAATATTCATTAGTCTTGAAAGATATTCCAAACATAGTACAAAGAGTAGAGGGGACATAGGATCACCCTGCCTTAGGCCTCTTTTCCCCTCAAAGTGTCCATGTAGGACACCATTGATAGAGATAGAGTATGAGGGTGTGGACACACATTCCATGATCCAATGGATAAATCTGTCCGGGAACCCCATGTGCCTCAAAACCTTGGATAAAAAATCCCAAGAAATAGTGTCATAGGCCTTTCTTAGGTCAACCTTTTTTTTTGGGTAACCTGTAAGTATATTGAAAAATCACCCAAGAGAAGAGGGGGGAAGAATGTACAAGCAGGACAAAAATGTAGGCTATCCGGCAAGGATAACCCGAGGACAAAACAAAGCCCTAACAACAGCCAAACGCCACATCACCACCTAGAGGAGTGAAGATGCAGCACAAAAAGGCACAAAAGCACAGTCAAAAACAACACCAAAAAGGCGTTAAACGGTTACAAGCTCATAAGCATAAAGGCTATAAAGGATCTTGTAGACAACAAACTGGATTTTAGCAAAAACATCATCCACGTTAGGAACCAAGCCATCGAAACAAGCAGCATTCCGAGTCCTCCAAATCCAATAGATGGAGCAGCAAAAAGCAATCCTAGCCGCCTTTGATTTGATGCCGGATCCTTGTCTCTTCCTCTTTATCCACTTCAGCGAGCTATGCAAAGTCCCCATCTGCCTAGGGATATCCAGCCAGCTCTTTACCATATGCCACACCTTTCCTGAAAAAACACAAGCAAAAAATAGGTGTGGTACCGTTTCCGGACCACCCTTGCAAAAAGGACAAATATTCACAACATCCAATCTATGCAAATTGTCAAAAGTAGCAAGCCGGTCCCTAAAAGCCAACCAAACCGTGAAGGAGAATTTAGGGGGGATGTAGTTCTTCCAAATGAAAGACATCCACATGTGAGTTCCCCCTTTAACTCTAAGAAGATTATAGATCTTGGCCGAGGACAACTTCCCATTAGTTTGGCAGCCATTTAGGAAAGTAATGGCATCATCAATATTGCCAAAATGTGAAAGAATCTGATTCCTAATCAAGGAAATCTTCTTGATAAGTTGGGAGTCCCTATTATGGGGTGTGAACTCCCAAACACCCCTATTATTAAGATAGATGCCATGTATCCACCTCACCCAAAGATTATCCTTTTTGGTGTGGATATCCCAAAGGGTTTTGGCCAGTAAAGCAGAGTTCCAAGTATGAGTATCATGGATACCAAGACCACCCTCCTCTTTAGGGAGGCACACATCCGTCCAAGCAACTCTTACATTATCCTTCTTAGGTAAACCTTAAGCATACATCTAGGGGATATATGTTTACGGCCATATCCTCTAATCAATTCTTGGGCAACAAAAATATTATCAATCATGAGTCTACCATCTACAAAGGCACCCTGAGCAGGGTCAATAAGATTAGGCAAGCAAGGAATCATTCTATTAGCAATGATCTTTGTGATGGTCTTATATATCACATTCGTACAAGCAATTGGTCTATAGTCAGCCGGGGTAGGTGAGTGAGTGGTCTTAGGAATTAAGGCAATAACCGTGTGGTTAAGCTGCCTTAAAATCCTACCAGAGCCAAAGAAGCCCTTGATTGCCTTAATAACATCATCTCCAACAGTCCCCCAATTCCTTTTGAAAAAGGCTGAGGTGTAGCCATCTGGTCCAGGAGCCTTATCATCTCCAATATCAAAAAGGGCATTCTTTATTTCCAAATCAGAGATAGGGGCAATAAGGCCATCCCTAGAAGTAGGGGGAAGGCAATTTCCCGAGGTGATGACACTAGGGTCCAGCTGTGTATTAGGATAGTGTGTGCCAAATAGATTGGTGAAAAATTTTACAAATTCATCTGCCACTTGGTCAATAGAATTAGTGATATCACCGTTAGCTTGTTTGAGTGATGTGATGGCATTTTTAGCAACATTTTTCTTCACAATTGAGTGAAAGTATTTAGTGCATTTATCACCTTGAATAAGATGATTTGCTTTAGCCTTTTGTCTATAAAAATCCTCTTCCGCACCCTTTAGGTAAAGTACTTTTTTCTTGGCCACCTTAAGATCATTATTTATAGTATCATCCAAGGGGGAGAGTAAAGATAGGCCATGCAGCCTATTGTACTCCTTTTTGGCCTCCTTCACTCTCTCGGATATGTGCCCAAAGGCTTTCCTATTGAGTTCTTTAAGTGGTCCTTTGAGGCTTTTTAATATCTTGACCAAGATGAATTGAGAACTACCAATAATTTCTCTATGCCAAGTATTATTAAGAATGGTGTTAAAAGATTCATGCTTAAGCCACATATTGTAAAATTTGAAAGGTTTGGATCCACCTAAATTGCCACGGCCTAGTTTAACAATGGCAGCAACATGATCAAACTCAGCCTCCATTTGGGGGAAATGAGTTGAACAATTTACACCTTGAGTCATCCAAAGTTGGTTCATAAGAACCCTATCAAGTTTTGCCCAAAGTGCCCCTCTATTCCAAGTTAGGAATTCACCCGTGGAGGGGGTGTCAACAAGGTTATTTTGTAGCTTGAAATCATTCAAATCTTGCATAAGATAGGTCGAGGGTGGGGTAGGCCCCACTCTCTCACTTGGGCTGCCCACACAATTAAAATCTCCCATCACAAGCCAAGGACAAATGATGGAAGGTTCTAAAGATGTTAGGTGAGCCCAAAGTTCCTTTCTTTCCAAAACTGTATAAAGTGCATAAATAAAGGTAACAAAGAACTCAAGTTGTGTAGTCTTACATTTGAGCTTACAATGAACATGCTGTTTATCAACTTCCAAAACATCAACATGCACAAATAAAGGGTTCCAAAGTATAGCAAT